TCACACATAAGGTTTAATTTCCCTACAATACTTTACATCGTTCTCTGCAGCACACCGTGAAAATCACGCGGGTGCGTAGGTTAGGATTTCGAGAAACCGACATCGATGTCACCATTTCTTTCTTCAGAAATGAATTTTTTACAGCGGGAACAAATTACGTACCAGGCTAACCCATTGCTGCTACACCTATACTTGATATTATGGATATCGAATGCAAAAACGAGTTGCTTTTCTGGTAAAAGTACACACATACAATATGCCGATGAATACAATATAATTCCTTGTGCGCCGCTTTTTTTTCAATTTTAAACATTTATGGAAATTATGTTGTGGACAGGTGGTTCCCGGTGGGAAATCTTGTCGTCATGTTTAAAAGCTGTTGACGCGTTATCATGATGAGGATGGGTGAGCGAGTGAGTGAGTGAGTGAAGAGAGACGAAGGAAGGGTCACATCATAACCGTTCGTCGGGACATAACGTCGTGCGTGCTCTCACAATTCATCATCCACCTTTGTCGCCTACTCACGAAATGATTCGACGGCTATGGCGACAATGAGAATACCGCGCCTTTTTCCAGCCGACTGAAAGTTGAGATGGTTACACGGACGCCATCTTATATTGATATCTATCCGTTCCGCAAAAAGATTTCTTCCCATGTATTTAAAAATGGTATCAAACGTACGTACGTATGTTTGTATTGTCGTTCGTATGAGATTTGGGATTTTGACCGAAACCTTAAAAATGAGTCTGAAAATGTTAAAGGTAATACGGTGAATGACTTGGCAAGGGTACACATTCACCGCTTGATGATATATTTATTCTTAAATATTTACATTTAATCTATGCGTAGCACCTACTACCACCACCACCATAAACAACCCGAAATGATCGTCAAATAATATACTGCTTTATTATAAATGATTGACAACAACAATACTGTATAAATAAATAGATTTTTCACCGACTGCATCTATTCACTACTAAAAAGACTAAATGGGTGTGAGGGTGAGAGTCGATATTCGTTGTCGCTCTGGCTGTATTTAATTTTTTTTTTTTTTTATGTATCCTTGTGTATTTGGTAAACAATATATATATAAACAAAAAATTTCCTTCTCTTCTCACACGAATTTCTTTTTCAAAAAACAAAAATTTTTTCTTTTCTCCACCATATCGACAAATTACTCCATCTGCTCGCCTTTGAATTTATCTGTTTGCTTAGCTTTCATTGCTATCACAAAACACAAAAGAAGATGTCTGCGTTTGTAATTCCACAAATAAGACCCGACATTTCTCGCGTCCACACCTATCCGCTCTCATCTTCGCTACCCAACACCATCTCGTCGTCAACCAACACCCTGAGCCCTAACATGCTGTCCCCACAACAACAAGCCTCAAAACGTCGTCGTCGGGATACTTTTGTTGAACGCTTGCTCAAAGATCCAATCCTTCAGACGATGGCCGACATCGGGAAGCAAGAGGGCACCATCAAACCATTACCAGCACCACAACGTGCTCGTAGCCGCACCATAAATTTCAATGAATATCAGAATCAACATTATGGTGGTAATGGTCTACACAGTCATCTGCACAGCTCACAACACGCCATCCAGAGTAAAATATAATGATCGATCAGAACGACATACGTAAATTGGTATAATTGCCCCGATGAACATTTAATATTTTTATTTTTATCTTTATTCTGTTTTTTTTTTTTTTTCCCTCCTTTTTTTTCTAAAGAAAAAAAAAACAAAAAAAAAAAATTTCTTTCGTTTTTTTCGTTCGATCGTCCACAGATGCGCGGTATTTGTGTGGCATATTTGATGATTCGTCTTTTCAAACATGGCGAGCCATTCGTTTTATTCTTTTCTTCCAAAAAAAAAAATAGACTATACATAACATTGCGACAATTTTGAGAGAAATTGCTTTAAAATTTGTAAATACTGTATTTTCTCACTACATTTATTATTCAATTCTCAGTTTTCTTTATTTTTTTTTTTTTTTTAACCTTTAAAATTCAATAGTATTTTGTTCTCATTTAAACAAGGACTTCTTTTAGTAACAAAATACCTATAACGCCCAACTCTTTTACCTTCCTTTCACTTCTACTACAATGATAAGATTTCCGGATGCCAAGAATTTTTTCTGCAAAAGAAAAAAGCTTGGCACGATTCGGATGTGTAGTGAAATCAACTTTTTTTTATTTCCAAATAATAAAATAAAAATGTGATTTGGATTTTTTTTTTGTCCAAAAAAATGTGCACAAAAAAATATTGATATTAATAATCTTATTATTATGATCCTTATACTTCTGGATGACATCAGGAAATGTCGAATTTGTTCAACGCTCGCTCGTTCTTGAAAAAGTGTACGTCGCACGTGCTTAGCAAGCATTTGGTCAGTCGAAAATCGACATTCTGAAATTATTCCCATGGTGTGAGAATGACCAATGGATAAAGTTCGAAATGGTTTGGTGCAAGCGTGTCATGCTGAATGTGCTACATGCGATGAACACCCGACCCCTACACAAATCAAACAGCGCAAGTAGTGTACGTGCTGCTGATTCTCGCGTACAGCGTCGTACCATGCAGGCAGTAAAAAAAAAAAAAAAAAATTTCAATGACTCCATGCCAAATCACCTTTTTTTCTTTACAAACTCGAGGATCCTAAAAAAAAAATAATAATAATAAAATAAATAATAATAATAATAATAATAATTCTAGAGAGACAGAATCTCTATGATACAAGATTCTGCACGTCTGTCAAATCGATTGATTGATTGGCTTCTGCATACGTATCAAGGACAAGTATGTACGTAGAGACGGACATATGAATGTAATAAATGATCATTAGCTCATACTGTACGAGATTAAAAATGATTCCCCAAGAAAAAAAATTTTTTGAGGTATTGTTCATTCTCTTTGTTTTTTTTTCTTTCGAGTGTTCAGCAAATGTTTATTAAAGAAGACGTTGTAACCCCATCGAATGTATCCTACGGATTCCTTCCTCGATGTCGGTGATGCGTGCAACACATTCATCGGTGCATGGACACACCGATTAGTGATCACACCACGCACGATAATGATAATGATCGTTGGTTGTAACAAGAATTTGAAGATGAGTGGCTTCGGATCTGACGTTTCCTCGCGAATGGGAAAGGTTTTTCAAACTAGAGTTGGATCAAGTTTTGTTTCTCGGTGCACACAAGTCTTCTTGATCACGATTGGTTAGTTCCAAACTTTGCTGGCAGAATTCTTACTGAGATAATTCGAAGAGTGAATAATGTGTTCGATTCCTTCGTTGAAAGGAGCGTTCGGTTGGACAACTTGAATCCGGTGACTGATGACCAGCGATACAGCACAAAGATCAGAAAGAACCTTTGTGCATAATAGATTTCGAGAAGGCGTGTACGTGTGTATGTGTGTGAAAATTTTCAAGATAGTAAATGGTCGATTATTACACAACCTGCAGCTATAAAATGGACCGCTAAAGTAAACCTAGATTTCATTACGTAATAGGAACGAAAACAGTTTTTGATATCGTCTCTCGCACGCTCGTATCACCTAATTGCGTGTTACACGAATCCCGTTATCATTCCACCTACAAAATGTTGCCCATCATATATTGTTTTGATTGTCTCACCTAATAATAAACAAATTGACGAGTGCGAAGGATGACCAGTTCACGAACAAGTTTTTTTTTTTCGTGCTTTTTTGTGGGGTAAAATATTTATGTGGCGTTTTCGCATTCATTAAAACTGTGATCTTCGCTTCTTTACTTAGAAACAAAAGCAGAACGGTATGAAAAATTTTTCGATGAATGCCGCACAATCGCGATGACGCTTCGTAGCACATCTCTTTTTTTTTTTTTTTTTTTTTTCTTGTGGGGTAAATTTTGAAGGCGGTCGTAAGATTTCGATTGTTGCTGTTTCCTATGAAACCTTAAAAAAAAAAAATAAATAATAATATCGCATAACAAGGATTGTAGCGAAAAAAACTTTCTTCTAATGAAAGAAACGAGATGATGTAAATAAGACCTATTCACCCACGCACGGGACCTTGTCTCATCATAAAACCGGATAGGCGAATGCACGCAAATGTTTGTTTCGGAATCTTGTGATTCACTGCAGCACATTCACATATCTCGTGCTTATCCAGTTAAATCGGGTGCGTCCACTTTTTAAATTCATTTAATCAAAGGACGGAATCAATGATAAAACCGACTGGTGAAACGGAAGCGTGTCCGTTTGATAAGAATACACCTACCTACTTGGTTACACCAGATAGAAAGGATTCCTTTGGAAATCTTGTTATGTGCGGTATTCAACTATCTTCATGTACACAACTTTACCATTCTCGAATCAGAAATAACCACGCCGAAATAATAATGCTCTTTGAGGAACTACTAATGCACAATACTATTTTTTTCAAAAGTTTTATCAATGACACATTTTTCATTATTACTGACCGTTGAGGCAACATCGATTGTCTCATTCAATTCTTAATGATTCCTTATCCAACAACAAACATTCATATACAAATTTCAAACAAAAAAAATCAAAAAAAAAAAAACAATACCTTCGGTATTTATCGTGCCGAGCCCGGTTGGTTCTTTTGTTCATATTGTTAAAGTCACTCTTGATAACCAACCAATTCTATACACTGGAAATAATACTTTCATTATTATATGGCACAAATTACGAGATCTTGAATATGCGTTAAACCTTGAAACGAAAAAAAAAAATAATAATAATTTTAATTTTAATTTTAATGCGTAAAAAATCTATGTGGCTAATGAATGATTTATGTAATCAGAATAATATGTGTAAATGTTGTTTTGCAGGTAAAAACATACAATATACTGTACATGTACTGTATACACTTTTGAAAATATTTAAAAACCACACGCCGTACATTACACGAAATGGTTTATGTAAACTTATGAAGAATTACTGGAAACTTCGACCATACACACAATATACTGCATTGGTTTTGATTTAATCGATTGAATTTCTTTGCTAAAACAAATGAGATAAAAAATATAATTCTTAATGTTTTTTATGAAAAAAAAATAAAATAAAAATTTTTTTATTAGCATTGAAAACCTCATTCCTTGTGTAATATTTTAATTTTAAAATAATTTTTAAATTTATCAAATATATTTTAAACATTTTTTTTTTATTTTTAAAAAAAAATAATTAATTAATCATAATGTTTTAATAATAAACATTGATATTTATAAAAATATTGAAAATTTTTTTATAATTTACATTTACATTAACTAAAAAAAAAATTTTTTTTTTATAAATCTTAATGCAATCCATCTCATTATTTGATATCATTAATTGAGCTATTATTAAAATTATATACAGTAAATAATTGATTAAAATTTATAATAAATAATTTAAAAAGTTAAAAAATAATTATTTGTTAATATAAAACATAACTTGTTATTTTTATTTAATAAATAAATACAAATTTATATTATAAACCTAATATTAAAATATAAGATAAAGTTTGTCAAAAAAATCTTTAAACAAATATTTTTTTCATAATAAATAAATAAATATTAATATATCTAATATAAAACTTTAAATATATATATATTTTAGAATATAAAAAATAAAAGATTGGTGATTTTTTTAATACTTTATTAATAAATTTATTATAAAATATAATTTTTAAACTAAAAAAAATTTTTATATAAAAATATATATATATAATTGTAGTTGGAAAAATAATTTTTTACTATATAATAATTTTTTAAAAAAATTATATAAAAAAAATTTATTCAACTAATAAAAAATTATAAAATGTTTTTTATATTATATAAATTAATTTTATAAAAATTATTTTTTTTTTTTTGTTTTATAAAATTAATTTTAAAAAATTTTTAAATTTTAATTTTAATATAAACTTTTAAAACTTTTATATAGTATTTTTTATTAAATTTTGGATTAATTTATTTAATTAAAAATTAATTAAAATTATTTTTTACTTGATTTTTACAAATCAATAAATCAAAACTATTATATATAATTTATTTGTTCATTTATTATAAATTAATTAAATTAATACTTTAAAAAAATTTTTTTTAATTATCAATTAATTATTAATAAATTTGTTTTTTATATTGTTATTATTAAATTATGAATATAAATATAAATTAAAAATTGTTCAAAAACTTTTTAAACAAACTATATATACATGTATATATAAATTTATTATTTGTTATTTGTAATAAGATTATTAAAGATTTAAAAAAACTTTATTATTTATAAAAAAATTAAATATAATATTGTATATAAATATAAGAAATTAGATTTATTTAATTAAGTATTTTTTTAATAATAATAATAATTATTGTTGTTATTTATTTAAATTACATATAATTATTATTTAATTAAATAATTAAAATATAATATTATATAAAAAATTTAATATAATATATTATATAGTACGATGCAAAAAAAACCAGAATTTTTTTAAACCTATATTTTTATTAATAAATTAATATAGAATTATTTAAATATTATAAAACTTATTAAATTTGTTTTTAATATAAAAATAAAAAAAACCATATAATTTTTTGTTAATTTTAATATTACGTAACTTTAATGTTAATTTTAAATATAAAATTAATGTTTTTTTAAAAAAAGTAACAAAAAAAAATATTTCTCTATTGTATTTTTTAAAAAATTATTATTATTAATTTTATTAAATTAATTAATGAAATAATTTTATATAAAGATATTTATAGTATTTAAAAATATGGAAATAATTTTTTTTTTAATTTTAAATATATTTTTTATTATAAAAATATTTAAAATTTAAATAGAATTAAAATTTTTAATAATTTTCCGAACAGTTTTTTATTATAAAACATATATAAAAAAATTGAGAATTAATTTTTTTCCAACTTTTATTGTATTAAAAATCAAAATTAAAAAAAAATATATTATTATATTTATATATATAACTTATAACAAACTTATTGTTAAGATATTAAAGAACTTATTTACAAAGTTTTATATAATTTGATTAATTAATTATTGAATTATAAGTAAATATATAATTCTGGTTTTTTTTGCACCGGACTGTATACAGTCAACCCTCCATATAAGAACATCATTGGGACAGTCAAATTATGTTCTATTATAGAGGTGTTCCTTTATAGAGTTATTTAAAATTATATAACAATTACTATATATTTTATATTTATTTATTTTATTTTATTTTATTTTATTTTTTTTAAAGAATTAAAATAATATATTTTATATTTATTAATTAATTAAATACTAATATTATTAACAAAATATTTGTCAAGCGATACTTGTTTTTTTGAATTTTTATACATTTTTTCATAATTATATAACCTTTTTCTAAATAATTGTAATTTTTCTATATTAAAGTTTTCTTCTTCCAACTGTTCTTCAAATCTTATAACTTTTTGTAATGCTTCGTATGCTTCAATAATTGTAATTAAAGTTGGAGGGGATTCTTCCAATTCCTCTTCAGAGTCTTCAATTATTTCAGCTTCAATTTCTGCATTCGCTAAAACCATTTCTACAATTTCATTATCTTCAAGAATATCTTCAGTTGCAATTGGTTCATCTATTGCAATAATATAATCATTAAGATTTTGAACAAGAGTTTGTGTATTCGCTGGCAGTTTATCAAGTATTTCTATAATTATTGGTATTTCAAGTTCTTGAATTTCGGATTCTTGAATATTGTAACAAATATCTGTTTTTCGCCAACAGTTTTGTACTGTTATAGGTGTTACTTCAAACCATGATTGAGCGATATAATCGATTGCTTGTTTTATATTTAATTTGTTCCTAAAATAAAATACAATCGGATTATATTATTATATTATAGACTATATAATAATATTGTATTAATATATAAAACATATACTTAACTGTTCGATATCAATATTTTTTTCGAATTGATGCAATACATGTTAACAATATAATTGTTTGTATTTGGCTTTAAATGATTTGATAATGCCGGCATCCATGGGTTGGAGATATGATGTTGTATTAGGTGGAAGATAATATAAAGAAATATTAGTTAATTCAAGTGAATTTTCGCCTAATTCCATTTGATGAGAAGTCACATTATCAACTAAAAGAAGTATATGCCGATTTTGAATACGAAATCCTTCATTAATATAACTTAACCATGATTTCCATATATCCGAACGCATCCATGCTTTAGAATTAAACTTGTAGATAACAGGTAAGTTTGAAATATTTATTCCTTTAAAGCATCTAGGATTTTTTGCATGTCCAATTACTAAAGGTCGTAATTTGTGTGAACCGGTCGAATTTATAGCAAGAAGAATTGTAATGCGAGATTTATCCTATAAAAATTTGTTAATTAAAACATTATATTATTTATGTATATAAAACTTAATAATGTATACTATACCAATTTTTTTCCGGCATTTCGATGTTTTGCAAGTGTTTGATTTGGTGTCATACGAAAAAATAAACCCGTTTCATCGGCATTATATACATTATCAGGATTGAATTGTGAAATAATTTCTTTTAACTTTCTTCGTGCTTCTGGTAGACATTCAATTGACACACTACCTGCTTCACCATGAAGCCTATATGTGCGAAGCTGATTTCTTTTTTTAAATTTTTGAATCCATCCATTTGAAAATTGCATCTCATTCTCATGTATGCCGAGAAGCTTGGCAAATTCTTTTCCTTTTTCCTTAATTAAGTGTTCATTGAACTCAACAGTAGCTGTGGTTACTTGTTCTACCCAATAGCTTAAAGCTTGTTCTAGCAATGGAAATTTTACAGCTTTATGTCGAACAGACATTTCATTAGTCTCAACCATCAACCATTTTGCACTATCTTTTACTATCTTCGAAATAGTTGGGTAGGCAATATTAAGTTCTGGATATTTATTATTAAAATAAGTGACAATATCATGATGTTTTATGCCATGATGATTTTTCGCGTATTCACATATTTCTTTACGGAGGGAATTATTGACTGTAGCTCGCTTTTGTTTTTTTTGTAAATGTTCTGACATTAAGAGAGTCGTAAGTTGGGTGTAGCCTGCGAGAAATTACAAGTAATGTAATAAAAGTTATGTAATTATAAGAACAATGAGATCCAGATTTTAATTGATTGCTTTGTTTATACCTTTTCTAGTTAGATTAATTTTTCTAAACGATTATATAATAATAATAATAAAATGTTGCTAGTGTGCCGGGCTAATGGCAAATCTTCGCTAGCTGGAAACAGAATTTGCACAACTATCACTTAGTTTATCAATGAAAAACACAAAAAAAGATATATTTGACTTGATCAAATTCTCCATCCTTTATTTAATACTTTTCTTTAGATTTTATACATGTTTTTGATAATGAAAGAAATCAAAATTCTAGACTATTAAAGGTAAGCGATTCTAAATTACATATTATTTCTCGATTATTCATTAATCTTGTTATTACAGGTTGATATTTCATAATACTCCGGTTAAAATTGGTTATACCCCTTACATTTTCTCCCGGCATAAGATTTCAATTAGGCGAATTGATTGTGATGGTTTGTCAGCAAATGCCGATGTCAATCATCTTATCTTTTTTGTGTTTAATCTCAAGGCTCGTCGAGTAGGTGAATTTATAATGGGATGTCGATCCAGCACGGTTTTCATGGGGATTCGTGTCATCGGCTTAACTTTGCTGCTTTTCTCTGATCTTGTAGAGTCTTCCAATTGACTAGTTTAGAACGGATTTGAATGCGGCGGATGACATATCATTGGTGCCATTCAAATTTTGATTTATGCACATGCATTGATATAGGCGTGATTATCATTGGATACGTGGTTTCGGGTTGGTGGTCCATTTTCTGCGCCTTCCGTTGCCGCTATCTCAAAGTTCGGACATCTCTTAAACCTATTTTTCTTGTTACAGGTGTTATTGGTACAAGTTTTCTTTTAATGGTCCTCTGTTTTCCCCATAGGATTACCTGTCCGAGTGGATTGTAGTAAGTTTTGATGTAACTGGTGATAAGCTGTTGATGACGTCTGGATTCTGGCTTTTTTTGGCACGTAAGTGTTTGTTTCCTCTTCCTTTTTTATTTAATTGCGTTTCGATCGAAGTCATATCATGTGGTTTTTGTGTCTCCGCAGGTGGTGTCGTTCTGTCACTAGCTGGGAACAGAATTCGCACAACCGTCACTTTTGTTTATCAATAAAAACTCAAAAGAGACGTATTTGACTTGAATGAATGAATTCTCTGTCCTTTATTTAATATTTTTCTTTGGATTTTATATACAAAATTCGGCGACAAAAGCATTGTATCGTTGAGTGGGGTTTGACCGGAAAAAAAAAGTAAACCCTTCCAAAAAATCTAGTAATAATTTGGATAATATCATGCTATGAAACATACAAAAATGTGTATAGAAAATTTTAAAATTAAAGCAAAGCAATGAAAATGAACAAACCGAACACCATTCATTGAATAAATGGTGATGATCGAGAGAAATCGCATTGTTTCGCCTAAATTTTACAAAATAAAGGTCTTGTTCAACAGGTCACTAAAAAACCAGACCCTTGCTCGTCAGATCACTAAAACCATTTGCTAACTGTTTGCAACGGAACTTGAAAAGTTTTCACCTTATCGGAATCGTATCACGGCTAGCGTTCATCATCAACAAGCTTTGTTACAGAAGTTGACTGTGTTAGTTAGATCCCCGATACTGCTTGCTATGTCGGACACACCAATACCCGTACTGTTTAATCACTGCAACGCCTGCACCGATGCCTGCCCAAACCGCACATCTCTTGTTACTTCCACTATAATTCGGGTATTTTTCTTCCGTCTGATCCAATTTTTGTTTCAAGCTCAGTACTTCTTCCTTGATGTTTTCGCGTTCACTCTCATCATCTCTAAGACGCTTTGAAGATTCCGGTTTTGCTTGAGAATGATACGCTAATCTTGGCAAAGTTCTTCTTTGGATCTTTGGCTCCGCTTCGGATTTGGTATTTCCATTGATAGATTATTAACATAACGACTCGACGGAATAACCGAACAAGTCGTGGAGGAACCGTTTGTTAAACGTCCGGTGTCTCCGGTTGACTTGCAGTTACATGTTCACTCTAAATACATATTTGATCAAAAAACCCGTAAATATTGGTAATCTTTGTTTAAGGAAATAAAAAAAAGGAAGACCTATATGCATTTATGTATTTGATCATTTCCAGATGTACCTTATTTTGGGATTATGTTGTTTTTTGGGAGTATCGAACCAACTGTTCTCTGACTAATTATCCAGTGACCGAAAATGTGAAAAATAGTAAACAACGTAAGAGGATACCACACTTCGATAAATGAAGAATATGAGAAACATGAGCATATAACATAATGATTATTTACCAGACTCCTTCGAACCAGCCTTCCTCGATAATTCGCACATCTTTAATCTCTTTCTTTAACTTTTCCAATTCTTGAAGCCAGGTGCTTTCATCCTCGTCTCGAGGATATTTAATACACAACAAATAATAAAGATTTACTTCATCAGTATCCTGTCTTCGCCAAATGTCATATTTGACAGCATTTAGATGGAAACTTTTAGAATACTAAAGAAACAGATCGAAATTTTAAACTATTAAAGGAAGATTCAGGTGGCTTGACCGACCCGAAGGGTTGGTTAAAATTGGTCATGTGACATGCGTCTTAACCATCTGATTACACTAGCCAATCAGCATGCAATGTTCTTATATGGAGGTACATGTAATATAAACGTTCTTCAGAAATATGTTCTTGTTCCTTTATAGATTGTTCTTTTATAAAGGGAAATTTACTAATAATTGCATTGGTCCCATAAAATAATGTTCTTTATAAGAGGTTGTTCTTTTATGGAGGGTTCTTTTATGGAGGGTTGACTGTATTATGAAAGTATATTTCTTTAATATAAAAAAAATTATTTAAAAAAGTAAATAGAAATAAGTTTATTATAAATAAATAGATTAGAAATCATATATATGTAAAGTACAACTAATGTAAAATTCGATTTTTTAAATTGATATATATTGTAAAAAATTTTTTTATTTTTTATACTTTAAAATTAGAGTTAGAACTTTCCAAATTATCACGTGCAAGATTGATACTACGCGTGTCCCACAAATTAACGCGTCAGAACATATAAAATAGGTGAGTTTTCAAAATAATCCAACTTACTTTTCCTCTCTACGCCTAAGAAACTCCTTGTTTGAAAAGACCTTATTTTACCCTTTCTTTTCTTAGGCTAAAGAAAACCCCTCGGAAGCCCCTTTGTCAAGTCTATGATGTCTTCTGATTCTAACGAGGAGTCAGTCGTGTTTCGAGAAGCGACCGGTTTCAAGAAACGACACATAGGCAAGTGGCGTTATAACATTGTATTTCCGGGTTCGTCGCGACTATTGGTATGGCTTGAACTAGTTGTAAAGGTATCATGGGACTTTTGCAATCAAGAACACGTTTTACTTCTAGTC